GCAAGTAGAAAAAATAGGAACCATCTTTGGTGGGAAGGTAACAATGTTCTTTGCGCCTTCAGCATTTACATGGCCACATGACCACAGAGACATCTTTGGACAACGTTGGCTCTTTGGCTTTGAAATGAAGATGAGCACTGCCCCCTAGAGTCAGGAACAACTAGCATATATGTGAGAAGGGAACATTTATCTTTATGTAGATGCTTATTTTTTTGTTGGAAGCAAGGATAACCTTCACACATTCTTGGTGTTCTTCATTTATCTCCCTTAGGCACAGCAGGACTTGGATGCTATTAGAAGGGAATAACTTATCCATCTTAAAGTCAGGAAACTGAACAAATGGGCGGAGGTTGTTTATTGGATATTTGGAATTTCCATGAACTTTATAAATCAAGTGAAAGGAAATGTGTTAAAATAAAAGTATAAACAGTGAACAGATTTAGGATGAACCATGTAAACGAAGACTCAATAACTCAGGGCAAAAAGTATCTCAAAAGTTTAAATCATGACAACTGGACCCAAGTTTATTAAACTGAGACATTTCATTATTCATCCAAGTAACTTCTTCAGTCAAAATAAATTTTTGGGATAGGCAGAGAGTTAGAGAATTAACAAACTCTTGCCATACAGACGGCAGGGTATTTCTCCCCAAAATGAAAAGCAATATGTAAATGAAGACTTGGTTTTAATAAACTTTGGCCATATTTCTAGGTTGCCATGATTTAAACTTTTTAGATATTTAGGATGAAACTTTTTTTTCCATGGCAAGGAATAACTTTGAATGAAAAGACACAAGAAAGGAAACAAGTTTTTACTAGGAATACATATAATTTTGTTATTGTAGTTACAGTTGCTTAACAACCTCTATGAAAATAAGCAGCATTTTATTTAAGCTGCAACCTTTCGTTGTGTTTCATTCAATTTAAAAGAGCAAAATTATTTTGGTCAGAATAATACAGCAAATAAACCCACCAAAACTAGGCACAACATTTCAGAAAATGGAAAAAGATCCAGATAGTAATATTACAACAATTTGAAATAACCTAACACCCAAAGAGATATGTATTTATGCAAGCACTAGTAATATTGTGACTTAATATCTTAAATCAAAGGTACAGATTTAAAGTTTTAAAAATGTTTAGTTTTTAATCATGTGTATATAACAGAATTATAAAACTATAATTTGAGAAAATTATTATTTCAATGGCAAAAGTACCATTCAATAATAACAGTACAATTCAATAAAAAAACATTCACAATTATATTGGATGTTTTTCATCTCAGCAATATTTTTTTAGGTATATGGGAGGGGAGATATGTACTTGTGTACATAATGGAAAGTTTGTTAATAATCTAATGAATTCATTGCAAATCACTCTTACCAGCTAATGTATATTGGATTATGTGCACTATATCTAAAACAATTTTAG